TTAGCTCAGTGGTTCTGGCGCCTGCTGCACAAGTGCAAGGTCCCGAGTTCGATCTCCGGTACCAAAAGCAAACAAACAAAAAAAACAGACATGTGCTCGTTTTGGTAGCACATATACTGAAAAAAAAAGACTTACATGACATTATTGAAATAAAAAATATATACACATCCATGGAAATATTTTCTTTCATATTGAAAAGGCCTGGCAATATCAAATGCTGGTGAGGATGTAGAACAAATAATTTATTACCTGGTGGTCAGTGTACATTAGTAGAATCTGTGGAGATCTACTTGGGAATATTTACAAAAAGTGAATGCAACTGGTAATTCTATGACACAAAAACTAACTCTGCTTTTAGAGATGTTCACACTTCTTCTGCTTCTAATTGTGAAAAAAAAATTTTTTAATCTGGTTGTCCTTGGACAGGGGATTTAGTTCAGTGGTTCAAATGCCTGCCTCGCAAGCGCAAGGTCTTGAGTTCAATCCCTGGTACAAAAAAAAAAAGTCCAGTTGTCCGTCAATAGAATAGACAAGTAAATTACAATACAGTTAAATAATATCATACACCTTTAAAATCAATAAACTGCAATAATACGGCACAACATGAATGAATGCTAAATATATATTGAACCCAAACCATTTGTAAACATATATTTATGTTATAGCTTTTAGATAAAGATAAAGTATAAGATCGTATGGACTGCCATATTATGGTATTTGTTGCTATGGACAGTGCATATATGCATATATTTATTGAAAAATAAATTGTAAGAGTATTTTACATTATTAAAAACATTAAAAACTGTTAAGCATGATAAATAGCCAACAGGACAGCAACAAACTCTAAGAAATCAGTAAAGAAATAAGTTGAAATAAGAAAGGTCATGTAAGAGGTTTTGATTCTATCTGCAAAAAATGAGTAAAGTGGGCATAAAGTTAAGATTTGTTAAAACTGGGTAAGTACATGCATATACATGTATGAGCAATTAATTATACCATCTCTATATTTATACTGAAAATATTCTTTGTGTGGAAATATTTTGTATTGAAAAACAAGCAAAACTGGCCAAGGATTTAGCTCAGTGGAGTTGTGCCTGGCTGGCAAGTGCAAAGTCCTGAGTTCAATTCCCTGTACCAAAAATAAATTATAAAATAAGATTTTTAAAGGAACTAAACTAAAAATATGTGAACATTTGTAAAATGTCTTGTGTTTTTTTGTATGATATCTCCTTTGGGTGTGCATCAATATATATGTGGGTGTGTCTCTTAAAATCTCATTGGATAGGCTTTAGAAGGCATACAAAACCAGGGAATTTCTCCAACTTGAGAGGCAGGCATTTCTTAGATGTAGATTTCATTCTGAATTGTAATTCAAATCTTCTATGGTTGAAAGACCTATCTCTAGCACTTATAACCATGCTCAATAAATGTATGCTGAATCAATAATTAATTATTACAAATAATTTGTCACTCATAATAACTGTAAGCATACAAAATGTCTAGAGAAAGTTATATAAATTCATAGCATATTCATTTGATAAAATATTTTGTACTAAAATGAGATTTAATTCCTTAGAAACTACTTCTTAAAATATTAAGTGAAAATTAGGTTAAAATATTGCCTATGAACAATCACTTTGTATAGGCCTTAAAAATATTTGTATCCATAGGAATAAAGGTTGTTATATATAACTTTATTTTCTATATCTTTGTCTTTTACATTATACAGATTTTTCAAAGAACATCTCAATTTTACAAGCTAAAGGGGTATTTTACAAAGAGCGCAAGTTCATAGATGAGCATGTTGGTGAGAATGATAGTGACCAACACTAACCTTTATTAAACATTCATCACATAGTAGCAGGGGTTGAGCACTTTTCATTTTCACTTTATGCAATTCTCACACCAAAACTATAAATTAGGTAGACATTTTTGCTTTCCATGTTTTATCAGAAAACTGAGTTCTCCAGATGATGGAAACTTCTGTTAAATTCCTATTGTGTGCCAGAAAACAGATCCAGTTTCAAGCTCTTCTGATTTTCTTAAACCTGAAGCTGAACTCCTCTCCAAACAGACTCAGCCACTTCAAGACATGCCATGTTTTATCCATGGAAGTCAATACCCTTAACTTTAATCTTCCTTTTCCCAGACTATATTTGTTGTGCCAAGCGAGCCGATAAATCATCAAACACTGGAACCAATGACAAAGTTAAACTGAAAGGAGTTTATTCACGCATGTGGACTCCACTCCCTAAGCAAAATGAAGCCCTGAGTCCAGGAAGAGCACAGTTTATATAGGGTGTTATAGCAGCATAGCTTTTATAGGTGTTAATTTAAGAAGAGAAGTTCAAGGGTAAGTTAATTCACAACTCAGCTATCTTGCTGTCTTGTCAGATTAGGGCAGTTTACTGTAAAGGGAGGCACCAGACACTATCTCTTTCCAAGAAGCAATGAAACAAGTTTACAGAAGCAGAACAAGCAGTTACAAAAACATCTATTTTATAAGGGGAGGGGCATGAGGGGAGTTTATCTACAGGCCAAGATGGCGTTTCTTGGGTTTATCCTGGTCTCACAATATTACTGATTTTTCAATTTAATACCATAAATTGAAAATAATAGAAACAATAACTAAAACTACAGTAAAAACTCTCTGTAACTAGACTATATTTTAAAGCAATACTAGACTCAAAACAAAATCTAATGGGCGGTGAGAATTACCTCCTATAAGTGGGTATTACTGTGTACATACTGTGACCCAGACACTATGTTAGAGTCTTAATGTGCTATAGATTATTTTATCTAGACAATAAGCTTATGAAAGGATAGTATTATATTCCTATTTTGCATATAAATATACCGAGGATCAGATTCAAAATAATTTGCCCAAAGTAATTTGCCTCAGGACTTGATAGCTGTTCTATGTGACTGTAGTGCTTGTTTTTAACTACTCTGTACTGTTTCAATAAAAAACGAAAACAATACAAAATACAAAATTCACCAATGCAACATTTATTCCTGCAAATGATAGTATCAGTTATCAGTGATCTGTGTCATTCTAGTCCTGTACTCCGGCATGTAAAACACTCTTTAAACCTCAACTTATATAATATCTCCAGATTTTCTAAACCCTTGAGGTTAGTTGGTAAAACATATATTTTTTTCATGTAATTGCTCTTCACATAATTTTATGATGGCTCTGAATCTTCCCACATGTTTCTCCCTCTATCTGAAATGTTGGAACTGATGAGAGAAGAGCCATCGGTAAAGGACTCACTAAATACTCCTCTCTCTCTCTCTCTCTCCCTCCCTCCCTCCCTCCCCCTCCCTCCTTCCCTCTCTTGGAGACTTAGTCTTTCTCATATCAATCTCTTGCAAAAGACAATAATTTTCTCAAAGACAGTGATTTGATCTTATTAATCGTTGTATCCAAATGTCAGGTCAATCATTGTAATGTCTAGATATTTGCTGAATGAATGAAGGAATAACTACCTAGTTGAAAGGAGAGTCTCAAGAGAGTTTAATCTGGGGGAAAAAGGGAGAGATAGAAATGAAATTTCTGTCTTAGAAAGATGGCAGCCATGTGAAAAGACAGTGAAAGATCAGCTGACTCCTTGAAATATCTGAAAGTGGGATTCATGG